TTATTATTATTATTATTATTATTATATCTGTGATGGATAGGTGGAGCACTGTGGAGAAACGGAACATACTGTGAAAAATACTTTCTTGCATATTTGTTGTTTTAATCAGTGTCTACAAACCTGGTTCACAGACAAATTACTTGAGATTGTTTATCACTTACTGTAAATGCAACTTAAATATTTATTTGTGTAGTTAGTAATAATGCCTTCCTCTTTTTTCCTGCAGAGTGGAAGAAAGTTTCAAGACCTTATTTTGGTCAATATTTGGCTTGTCTGAAGTAACCTCTGTTGTCCTCAAATATGATCATAAGTTCATAGAGAACATTGGTTATGTTCTTTATGGCATATACAATGTAACAATGGTGGTAGTTCTGCTGAACATGCTGATTGCTATGATCAACAGTTCATATCAAGAAATTGAGGTGGGCTCTGTTCTCAAGTTGTTCTCTTCTATTATGTTGAAAAAGGGGAGAATTACTAGGAATTATTTCAATGAACACATCTTGGTATGCAAAAGTACAGTGAAGAGGTTACCTCAGTAAAGGAGATCACAAAAAATACCATGTTCCTAGGACTGACTTTATCTAACAACCCAGCCAAGCTGCAGGACCTTACAGGATCTGAACAAGTAGTTTCTCTTGTGCCACATATATATGGGCATCTAAGGAGATGTCATCCATCCATAAATCTTAAAATCTAAAGTAATATTCCAATGAAGACTGCTGTGAAGTAGAAAACAAAGTTAGTGGGCATAACATTTTAGACATGGGTGGTTCATTCCTGGTTTCCTTAGGGTGCTTATTGTATGTTTCCTTAACGTAGTGCACTTCAATCTTTGGCAGATCATTAGGATACAGATTAAATGTATTTTGTTGTGTTCTTTAATGGAAATCTGGTTTTTAGTTCCAATCGTCAAACTTTTTAGCTAAATGTGCAGGTGTTAGACACTTATGCACAGCAGTAATACACGGACATACTGTATTATATTTATATACCTTCATACATGGAGAATGATACAGGTGTTTATCTTCAAGATTGTTGTGACTGAGTCACCGTTCGCAATACTTACAAGCTTTGTTTGTAATATGTGCTTTAGGTACACTATTAAAACTTGATTCTATGCTTAGTGAGCTTTGCCGTATGCCCTGAAAATATAGTGGCAGTATTTCTCCAAATCTGCCAAATGGCTTAGTTGAACGAATACTTGAATTTCATAAAAAGTTATTGGCTACATTGCTTATGAAAAGAGATGTATTTTATTTGAATTTCACTATGATGACAAAGTGTCTTCATTTCTAAAGATAATTAATTAGAGTATTTAGCATCCAACTCCAATAAAAAATTCCAAAAATTTGAAGTATATAAGATACTTGGGCTTTAAAAGTAAATCCCAAGTTGCTGAAACGAAAGTAAAAGCATATTTATAGTGCCGGTTTTCCAGACCATGAGTTCTGATATTATTCAAGGAGTACTATATATAGATGCAGGCACACACCCACACTAGCAGGAAAAAAAAAGATTATCTAAGATATAGTGTACAAATAGACTATATCAGTGACTTCTGGAAAATTCCGTCAGGGAGTTCAGCAGAAGAAAACTAGTTGTAACACACAAACTTTTCACCGTTGGAATAAACAAAGTTCATCCTTGGAATGGAGTAAGTACATTCTTCAGTAAGAATGTATTAGGACAAAATCAGTTTGTCAGTTTTTAACACAGTTTCTTCATGACAGCAAAGTTTGTATTTTCCATACTCCATTATAAATCAGAGTTACTTTTCATGGTTATGTAAAAAGCTTTGAGTACTTCCATTTTAAACCATGTCTGCCCTGAAGCTAATACTTCATCACTTGTGTGAGTACCAAATGCATGTGACCACTTCAATGAGAAAAACAAGATTTTAAAAAACCAAGAGAGTTCCACCTTAAATAGTGAGGAATTTATACATTGGCTTTCACTCAGTGCAAAAACAACACTTTTTTAAATGGTTCACATGCTTTAACTAAGTATTGTCAATGAGATGTTGCCAAAAAGAAACAACTGAAATTCAGTTGAAATAGACTTGATAAAGTGGTTGCACTTTTGCAGAACTACTGGGAGTCTTTCTTACTAGCAAGAAAATAACATTTTATGTAAAAACAGAGAGGGTAGATATTTAAAAGAAGTTTCATTTGGAAGAAGTTTTGCATTTCATAAAAACAAAGCACGTACTTGTTTTTATATCTTAACGCAGGATGACAGTGATGTAGAGTGGAAGTTTGCTCGTTCTAAACTTTGGTTATCTTATTTTGATGATGGAAAAACATTACCTCCACCATTCAGTCTTGTGCCAAGCCCCAAATCTTTTTTCTATTTCATCATGAGGATCATTAACTTCTCTAAGTGCAGGAGGAGACGGCTACAGAAGGACATTGAAATGGGAATGGGCAATTCCAAATCTAGGGTAGGTACTGAAATCTTTTCATTGCAGTGAGGAATTGTATGTCTATTCCAGCATTCTGCTTTTCTCTAAGTTTGGGGGTATAATATGTGCTTCTGATGATAGTATGGTAATTAGTCAAGCATTTATTAGCCTAATCATGCTGCATAAAACAAAAAAATAGCAATAAATTTTCTTAGGACTACAAGGTCCAATGACTGGAAAAACACATTTAAAAGAAAATTAACTGAGTAGTCAAAGATGCATATACTTACCATGAGGAATGACCTAAATATTGAATAAGAATAAAGATGCTTTCAGCCTCTGTTAGAAAGATTTTTAGTTCAGGGTAAAAAAAAAAAAAAAAAAAATGGCAAGGGGAATAAGGAGAGAAAACTTTTCCTTTCACTAGGACAGGAAAAGGATGAAGTATGGTCAGTATGATATTTGCTTCCTACTGTTAAAATCTATGTTTTCAACAGAAGACAACAGGAAGGAGGGGGGACTGGTAATAATAATCTTCAGCACTTCCATGACATTCTAAATTTGGGTATCTAAATGTTCCTTACAAATATTAATGGAATGCAGTGCCACAACACCCTTTTGAGAATTAGGTAACAATTCCCCTTGTTTAACTGATGGCAAACTGGGGCACAGGGGTGTTAAAGAGGATATATGTGGCTTTTTTAGTAAGTTAGGCTCAAGGCCCTGTGTATTGCAAAGACTTGAAAGCAATATGTTGCAAGTAATTTTTATTTGTTTTACTGTAAATTATCAGAAAGTCAAGTCTAGCCATCTTTCCTGAAAGATCTCTCTGGAGCCTAGGACTTTTGAGCTGTTGGTGGCACTGAATCTCCCGTAAAGAAAATGTTTTCTCCAGTTTTCTGTAGGTAGTCAAAGTAGATACATGTTAATAAAAATGTTGATTTACATCAGTTTAGCTGGAAGCACTTTTTTGGTGCTAACTGGTCATCTTTTGCACTCTCATGCTGCAAGTGCCTGAACTTCATTAGTTCTCTCCAGTCACCATACAGAAGATGTGTTTAAAAAACAAAACAAATAAACCTCAATGCCCTAAGATACACTTCTATAGCAAAAGATTCAGTAGTGCTTACAGATCATACAGAGGTACTTACTATCATACTTAGACTGTAAGTCACTAAAGAACTAAAATCCTGCCTGAGTCACTGCTGAGACAGGTCAGATGGAGCTAGTTTTCTTGAGCTACAAACCAAATTATATTTCTCTTGGAAGGGCAGCCCACAGCCTCCTCTGTGTCAGGCTGGGCTGGCACACTATATATTACACTGTACAAAGATAAATCCTGTCCCACTAGCTAATAAAAATGGTGGCTGAGCTGATGTCTTGTTGCCCACGAGAAGGTGGGCAACCTGGAGTAGATAAAAATAGCCCACTTGTGGCCCAGCTTGAGTCACAGGCTGTATGCAGTATAGGCACAAAACCGGCGATAGTTACAGGAAGCGTCAAACTTACTATATAGATGAGGATGACTTCCGTTTGCTCCCTTACCCCATCAGAGAGGTCAGCTATCATTGATTCAGTGACTTTTAATTGGCCACGTAGAAAATTAATGACAAGTGAAGATCAGGGGACTGAATGTTGTTTTATGGATACACGTTTTTTACTTCACTCTCACCAGTGTATCTGAGAGAAGTGTTAGGTCCTTGATTAGGTAATAACAAAGCTTCTGCATTGGTTGCAAAGCCACCTTGTCCAAAGTGGCTTTTTTCCCTGCTGTTTCTAGCCCACTGCTACAAAAAAATCTTAAATTATTTGGGATCTGATGGTTTTGTGATCCTCAAATAATTGAACAATGACAATTTTGCTAAATATATTACTATTCCTGAAAATGGTGCTTTGGGAAAACATTTTGAACTAAGCAGAAATGGTTTTGAGCATGTATTTTTAGTTAAAAGTATGCTTAAGAGGCAGATCCACAACAGCTCTTTGTTAAAGCCAGTTTAGAGAGTATCCTCTTGCTCTGGCCACTCATCCCTGCTTCCAAGTCATGATTCATTATTTCCTCAGCTGTGCGAGCACATTTGCTTTGAAGCTGTGCTGTGAACAGGACAGCTAAAATTATCAGTATTACCCAAAACAAAACCCCCCCCCCCCCCCCAAACCCAAAACAAAACCAAAAAAACCCAAACCAGCAAATAAGTTGAGGCAGTCTCAGGTTTTTTGGAACTAATATTCTGATATAGTGACTATAGATGCATCCTAAGGTGTCTCCAAGAAAAATAAATGTTAACTGAATTCTAACTGTGAATTCCATAATATATTTTAACTTTGTCTTATTTCTTCCTAGTTAAACCTTTTCACTCAGTCAAACTCCAGAGTTTTTGAATCACACAGTTTTAACAGCATTCTCAATCAGCCGACACGCTATCAGGTAAGTACATACAGTGGTCACTGATTTGAGTAATAGAACTGTGTGAGGCTACTAACAGAATTTTATGTTTCAAGTACATTTTGCCTTCAGCAGATAAAGAAAATCTCCTGTAGAAATAAAACTCTGGGATACTACTACTGGGGAAAAAAAGACAATTATTGTTCAAGCCCCATTATTTGAAGCATTTAAAAACTAGCCCATACAAAATTTAGATTTTCCTTTGATGTCCCAGTTTGGAAAGTGTGAGAAGCAAACATCTGAAACTGGTTTCTGAGGAAGGGATGTGAAAGCATTGAGCTGACTAGGTTAGCATTACTTTCCCTTCTTTTCTTCTCATGATCTGAGATGTGACATTCATCATTGGGAATGCTCCTTTCTGGTAAGAGGAGTCTGTCAGATATTACCTTCCTGTCTTCTTTCCAGCTCAGAAATAAAAGAGTAAATAGGAGCTTTGTTCCCTGGTGAAAATTTTGAAGGTATGTATGAACCTGTGCAAATTCTGTTAGATGAGCTACATTAAATTAGGTATCGTAACACAGTACAAGAATATTAGTACATACAAGGAGCCCTGGCAGTTATGGTATAAAAATACAGATATAATCTTAATTAATCCTTTACAGCTGACACCGCATTGTCAGACTGTAAAATCTCAACTTTTCTTTCTTTTTAAAAGGTAAATATTTATCTCTTACTATTACACGTCCTTTCACATGTGAACTGAGTTTAACAAAGAGTAGACCTATTCCAAAGCTACTTAAAGCCTAAATTAGTTGCATTTAGACATATTTTCCTGTTGTTCTGTTCCCTAAAAAAAGTTGTGGTGCTCTGTAAATATAAGGTAATTGGATGAGAAAGGTGCTTTATTATAATGACGAATCTCAGCATGCTGCCAAAAAAGCCCATATGAGGCAACTGCCTGATCTGGGGCTGTTCATTCTTTCACTTATGCATATGTCAGGGAGATAGTTAAGAAAGAAAAGTGAATAGTCTTTAATTATATATGCTCATCTGATTATATAACTGTTTTAATCTGGCAGCAAATAATGAAAAGACTGATAAAACGTTATGTTCTGAAAGCACAAGTGGACAAAGAAAATGATGAAGTAAATGAAGGTAAGGAGACTGTTCTTGAACTATTCAGAGACAATTTTTCTCACGCTGTTAGGAATACAGTGGTGCATGGAGGTTTGGGGTAAAAAGAGGGTTTATTTCAACTTCAGATGCACTGAACTCTGAGAGATAGTAGCGGAAGTATGCCTGTGACAATAAAAATGGACAAGTAGGACCAAAGAAGTAGAACTGAGAAATATTATGGGCCCCGTTTTACAGGTGAAAAACAAGAGCGCAGACATGACGCACAGTTAGAGAGGAAATGTGTGAGGAAACCACTAACTATATTCACACTTCCAGAGTCCTAGTTAGAGCTGCAGGAAATCTTTCTCTCTCTCATTCAACTGAACACACAATTTACCACTTTACACCATGAACTACTTGCATTACCTTCCTTCATAAACCTGTGTGGAATATTCATCTGTGAAGTTGCACATCGTTAAACAAAGCTCCATAGAGTTAGCTGCATGGTGAGAAAAATGACAACTGTAAAACCATTATTTTAGTGTGCAACCAGGGATCTTTTGAGAAACGGTGGATCTGAGCTTGGTGTCTGTTGATAGCACAGAACTTCTTTGGTAGCAGTGAGGGGTGCATGCTGCAGGTGCACGCCCCAACTCCCCATTGGGATGAGACTAAGATGAATGCTGTCCTCCTTCCTCCAGCCTTCCAGGAATGAAGCACAAGCCTACAGGACAAAAAAGCAACTTTAAGCTCTGGGCAGGCTCCCAAAACAAAATAATAGGGGTGTGTGCAGCATGGGGCAATTTCCTCTGCACTCTAGCTAAAAGGTTAACAGGCAATAGAGTGATGTTCCTTCCAGGGCTGGCTCTGCTCTTGGCAATGTAACACCCCAGCAATGGTTCTGTTCCCCATAGGCTGGAGGTTATAACTGTCATGGTTCAGCCAGTAAGAAATCTCTGTGATGGCCACCAGAAAAACATACTTGCTTAGCATAAGTAGTTCTGGTCGGGGATAGTTAGTTGGTTTCGGCGCACCGGGAACACTTGCCCAAGCCACTCTGGCAGCCTCATGCTCTCCAGCTGGCGTGCTGTGATGAAAAACTTGGGACCAGAACAGCTTTTACTGGCATGCAAGCATCAGGCACTGCGTGCATGTATATGATGTGAGGGGCCTGAAGGAGCTGCTTGCTCAGCTAAGGCAGCGTAGTGTTTATTTTTCTTGTTAGTTACTCTTTGCTTACCTGTAACTCTGCAGTGAGAAGCAGGGGGCAGAAAAGAAGATAGAAATTAAATTCCACTCTGTGCATTCAAAAGGCAGCATTGTGCATTGACTGTTACTCTGACTCTTCCCCATCCTATGTGGCTGTACAGAGCTGAGCTTACGAGTGACAAAAGCAGAGAAGCTCCTAAAAGCGTCGTCTTCTCAGCGTGCCCCTTGTGCCTTTCTGAATTCCCATTGCTTTCCTCACGTTCCTGCTCTGTGATGGGGGAAATCATGTGCCTAGTGATGGATGAAAAGACTGTTCTCTCACCAACAGTACCAGGGACGTACAAGTCTTTCCAGTTCCCTGATGCCTGTTTGGTGTTTACATAAGCAAGACAGTGCAGAAGAATTGTGGTTCATGGACATCATGGTTCTTGCTTTGTCAGCAATTGTTGTAGAGGAAAGTTCACTTTGAGCAAGTCAGCCCACCCCTGAACCTCAGTCTTCAGCTGCATAGCAAATGTAGTGCTCTTTGTGTCGTGCCCATCTCATTGGTACCTGAACTAGAGATACAGCCTTTGAAAATACCATTTTTGAAGTCTGCTATATTCTAAATAAAAAACTCCTGCATTCTTACGTACTGCAGTTATTTTAAACATAAGTCTAGGGATTTTTCCCTGTTTCACATCACTAGAGAATTTAGGTATTCTTTCATAGTCTTTATTTCATAAGTGACGAACTTCCTGCAGTGCCTACCGTGTAAGAATTCACATACTTCACACTTGCTGGGAGAATAGTATTTGAATATTTTAAAAAGCTTCTGCTCTTGAACTCAATAGCCTATAACAGAAAACATGCTGTTGCTTGCTAGGAGCTTGGCCTTGACAATCACTTTCTTTTCAATGTGTTTTTTGTACTTGTGTCAAATTGTAAGGTAATTTTAAATTCATTGACTTTTTCTAATTCAAAGGATATTGGTAAGGAAGAGGAGAGAGACTCAGAAGCTGTGAGTTTTATTGCCAGCTCTGCCACACTTTTCCTGTGTGATCTTGGCACATCACTTCAGAAAAAATCTCTTTGCCTTTTCTCTCTAAAAGGAGGATACTAATATTCAGCAATGTTGCTGTGGTTAAGTCACTAACATGTGTGAAGCACTTTTTGAATCTTTGATGTTCTGTGTACATGGGGAGCACAACATCAGAGTTCAGTGGACTGTTAAAATGCCTTTGGTACTATTTAGGGGTGCAAATTCATTCATTCGTTGCGAATGAAGAAGAGGTGAAGCATCCTGCCCCAGCCCTGTACCTGCTCTCATGAGCATTTTGAGATAATCATCTGAAATATGCACTGATGTGACTTGACGGAACAGGATTGAATGCATGTTAAACTTTGCTAACAGGTATTTCTTTCAATGATTAATACAGGTGAACTGAAGGAAATCAAACAAGATATCTCCAGTCTTCGCTACGAACTTTTGGAGGATAAGTCCCAAGCAACAGAAGAGTTAGCAATTTTAATACATAAACTCAGTGAGAAACTAAATCCTAATATGTTGAGATGTGAATGATTCAACAAAGGAACCACGGCTTTGACTACAGCACAACTATTTATTGGCAATAATATTTCAGTATCTTATACTTGAAAAATGTATTGTAGATTTTTAGCACTAAATAACTTTATGTACAGCTTCTGGAATTTACTCTTAGGAAATTTTATTAACTCACCACAAAAAGATAGCTCTCTTCATTTTAATTGTCTAAAAGCAAGAACTATCAAATTTTTTTTTGCATTTATGCATTTAAAAGGTATAATGGTATCAATTGCTGATATTTTAACAGGTTTATGAATACATATTGAGAATTCTTTGCAATAAATTTGCAAGAAAAAATTAAAATAACAGATATGGCGTAGCACTCGGTTCCTTGCAGCAGCTGGTACGAATAAGATTTTTCACAATACCATAAATCAACCAGAGATGAGTGGAGGATTATTTGAAATCTGTGTTCTTTATTAGTAGTAGCTAGTAGTAGCGTGTAGAAGCTGAGAACTCGTGGTGGGATTACCCATCATTAACAAAAATGGGTAGGTGTGAATGTAACTGTAGTAGCACTGTTTAACATGTATGTATATACATGTACCCACAACTCCCCTTTCTTAACTCAGCGTATTTACGTTCAAGAGGAAGGACTAGATTTTTTTTTTTTTTTTTTTTAAAAAACAACAACTTTGGAAGGTCATGTGAACTCAGTCCAAAGCTACTCTTTACGTGGTAGAAATGATTTTTTTAAGAATTCAGACTCCGTGCAGGGCCGGTATTTTGTTACACCGTTCTCAACAATGCCTCCCATGCTTCCTTGTTAAATAAAACATTCCTACTTTACTGATAACCCATATCGTCCCGGTAGTTTCGGCACCGAAGTCCGGCTTACCCGCCGGGA